CAACTACGTGGATGAAAGAGCAAGACCAAAAGAAGTACATTTTATACTATTATAAAAATGTATAAATTTATAAAACTTAAAAACAGACAAAATTAACCTCTATTGTTTAGGGATAAATACAATGCAAAACTATGGGGAAAACCAAGGGAAACTACATGTTTAAGATCAGGGAATAAAGCAATAGTAATACTACTAAAGAGGGTTCAGCAACATTCTGCTTAGGTGATAGCTACAGGGGTATTCACAATACCGTTATTCACTTAACTTTGCTTCTTTTTATCTGTAACTTTATCTGCATTTAACTTTACTTCTAAATTCTTTTGAATATATTTCACAATGTAAAATATTGGACAAATTACTAGGTATATCAGATGCACAAAACAGTACAAATAATAATATAATGTTCAACTGTGTATCCACCACCCAGCTTAAGGAAAATAGCATAAAAAAATACAGTTGGAAGGCCCATCTCCCCAGAAGTGATCACTATCCTGAATATGGTGAACTCAAAGTTTTAAGATAGCATTCAAGGTAACATTTCAACCTACACTAATAAAAGAGATCTGAAAAACACCAGGCACCTGGATGACAGGGTAACCAAGGACTTGTTTTTCTGGTAGAGCAAGGCAAATGCTCTTTCAAAGACACATATTAAATACCTACTTGTTCAGCCCCATCACTGGACTTTGATTTAGGCTAGGTAGTCACTGGAAAAAAAATCTGCCCCTCAGAACTGTAACATAAAACAATGCTTACCTACATGTGTTTGTGCAGCAAAATGTAGTACTATATCTATTTTCTCTGTTTCAAAAAGCAATTTCACAAAGGGAGAATCACATATGTCCCCCTATAAAAAAAAGCAAACATGAAAAAATTAAGTTTCATTCAGCACTCTCCCACTCATAATGACCATTTCACTATATGAACCAAAAAAAATTGAAAGAAAAACATTTAATAAAATTAATAAAAAATATCTTGAGAGTGCAATGAAGGAGCCAAGTAAGTACAGGAATGATGTATTTCTCCAGCATCCTAGGATATAAATTACTCAATTCAAAATACTTTTTTCAAAGAAGTGTCTAAAACAGTATTTTATTGAGCACCAAGTACTACTGAGGGCTGTGGCTAGCTTTTTTCCATAACATTCTTGACAACCTAAGATCACTATATTAACAGGAAAAATTTTGAACATACTGTGAAAAGTTTGAGATAACCATCATTGAAATATATTTAAAGTAAGTGTAACAACTGGAATGACATTTTAAAAAATGTATTTCACCACAACGAAGTAAGGTCAAGGTCATAAGTACTTCTGATGTTATATGTACATTTAGTTCTTCTGAAATTATGTATTCTCAACAATTCTTTAGTGAGGGAACACTTTCAGATGGAAGAACAGAATTAATGAGATCAGTATATTCTTTCAAATTTGTGGTTACAAAGAGTTTATAAAATCACTTAAAAAAACATATATCATGAGATAAAGACACTGATATTTGACACTGAAACTTCCTTTCGCTAATCAGTGGCGTGGCTCTCTGGTTTATACTTTGGACTCTACCAAGAGTGGCTAGTAAGAATTAGCCTTCCCATGCCAACCAATCCAGCTTCTTGGAGGACTAGTCCTGTGGTCTGTATGGAGGTATTTTAGGCTGTTGCGTGGCCTAACACCCCACATCATACTCCCAGCAAGGCTCTCTTCAGAAGGCTACCGAGGATCTAAAAATCATATACCATGTACAGTTCAATCAGCTACTCCTAGATTGGCCAAGGCACCAAAAATCCCGTGCAGCAGCTTCTATGTGGTGTCAATCTAAAGGCAGTATTCTCAATAGCATGTGGTGTTTTTGAAAATTAAAAGGTCTTTAATAAGTGTGCTTTCCAAGCCCAAATTATACAAGTTGTAAAATAGAGAGATAAAATGTCTGAATGTCCAAAGAGGAACAGTAAATAATCATATAAGAAAACTTTCATACCTGTATAAATTTGTAGTTTTGTTTGTCAGAAATGTTTTCAAGATTCTTTAAGCTTGCACAGTAATCCAGCTAAAAATAAGTAATGAGGGAATGGGGTAGATAAAGAACATGAAAAATAGTAAGAGTTTTTCCCACTAAATATCAATTTCTTTTAAAGACTATAGATGCTCTGATTATAATACAAGAACATGTCATCTTAAAGTGTCTGCTCTTTGTGCTTTGAGTGGTTTTTGATATCTTAAAAGTAAAGACAAAAAACAGGTAATTTTGTTGCCATATCAAAATACCAAAAACATTACTTTTTATAAACCTCTCCTTTAAGAAATTTTCCTGCCTAGATTTGACTTCAGCCACTGGTGGCTAGAAAAGGTGGCTTTATTTCTTACTGAAAAGGAATTAGTGATTGAAAATAATCACAACAATGTTATGCACATTGTAACTCTTTGCACTTTTTCCTGAGTTAGCAATTAGTAAATAAACATACAGATGGAGAAAAAATTACTACCCATGACAGTAAAGCAGGCAAAAATTCATAAGACTTACAGATTATTCTTTGTCTATACATTTTTACTATTATGTTTTATAAAATTAAGGTAACTAATTACATCTTGTGTTTAAAGTAAAAAATCCAGTGATTACCAACCATGGCTTTCCAACTCTCCAGGGGGACTCCAATTGTTACACAAAAATTCTCAAAACTATATTAACTGCACTTTAATTTTAAAAATAAACATAATTTTCCAGGAGGTGGCAGTTACAAAATAAACTAATAAAATCAAATAATCAGAGTATCCCAACTCCAAAACAAGGTTAACAATCACAAGACTACACTAAAAATAGAATTTAGGGTGAAGATTTTCTTTTGGTAAAAATACTGCACTTAAACCTCACCAAACCCAGAAGAATCCTCAGCCTTTTAAAATGTAAAAGTGTCTAAAAACATTTATATGTGTACCATTTTTGATAAATAAAGCTAGCCAAATGCAAAAAAAAGAAAGAAAGAAATACTGTACTTAACACCTTGACTTTATGGGCTATCATAATACATGAAAAAGTTTCAAAAAAACTTTGTATAAAATTAAACAGCATGATCACATGACTATGTAGGTCCCTAAGATGCTAAAATTAAATTAAAAAATTGAAATTCAGCATGACAGAACTCTAATACTTTTTAAAAAATGTAAATAAGTCTCAGTGCACTAAGCTCATTTTTATAAAACTCACCTTGTCTAGATTTATGATCATATAGTTTGGATAATCTTCTACTAAAGACACAATTACATGTGATGCACTGTAAGAAAAAAGTATATCTTATTAGTAGAAAATGTAACCTTTATTCCTAAATTCTTGACGGTTACCCTAAGCTATCCAGTATTAGTAAACTATCCAATGATACCTTTAAATTTTTACAAAATAACAGAAATATAACCACACTGACTATACAAACACCCACACTTTTCACTAACCTCAACAGTATTGATATAAAAAGTCTTACATTTCCTTTATACTACAGAGAAGAAAGATTTTACTGGTCTTGGGTATAACAAAAAAAACAAGTTTAACCAAATGATGCTGCTCATACATGCTTTGAGTGTAGGAGTAAAGCAGGTGGTAAATACAATGCGTGGTGGTCAGTGCAAATGGTTTCAAACGATCATGTATCTTTTCTAGGATAATTGAGATAAGGCAGGAACATGGGACGAGCTTTATGATTAACTCTTCCTGCTTAGGATGAAAAATGCCAAGATATAAACAGTACAGAAGAACAGGAGGGACTCCATCTTAAGGCTAAGATTCCATTTTAAAAACCAGGGAGTTAGGAGGTAAGATTCCTAACATATTCTTGGTAATCAACCAACAACTATCTTAAAGCAGGGAAAACAGTCCTAACTGATATGTTCCCAGTGTTTGAGGATAACCACTAGCTTGGAAAGAATAGGATCCACAAATTCCTTGTTTTAAGTTTATCTTACATTATCTAGAGGACTGACTGTGAATGGTGACATAATGCCTCTCACCAGAAAGAGACATCATCAGACCACATGTCAAGCCATACGTCACCCACCAGACTCCTGCCTTTTGCCCCATTCTTGAAAACATCAAAAGACAGAATCCTAAACCCTTAACTGCACCTCCTCTCTGAGTTGCCCGCACTCCTCTTTCTTCAACTGTGTACATTTTGCCTTAAATAAAGACTTCTCACAGTTCAACTTACTGTGTTTTGTCTCTGCGCTCTTCAGTGGGGCCTCTGCTGCTTCACTATGTCATTCAGTTTTCTAGACTTACGCACAAGTCTTCACTCTCTCTGTCCTACATCAGCCAAGTAGGGAAGGGCTATTAAGATCTCTAATTTGGGCTTGCAAGTTCCCATCATCTGGGTGACCTGAACAGTATTGCAGCTCTACGACCAGGCTCTTTAGTAGCTTGCCCAAGTATCTCCTTCCTTCGCCTTTGGGAAGTTCTCAGAACATAATCTCACTCCATCCAGTGCTCTGTGGATCCCCCAAATCCTGGGGGTGGTAGGGACTTAGTTCCCAAGCTGTGCAGATTCAAGTGGACACTGGACACTAGGTGACCCTGGCTTTAGGAGCTGTCAAGGGATCTGCTCCTTGCTGAGCAGGAGTTCAACAAGCTTCCCTTTCCTCTCTCTGTTCTTCCTTGCTCTCTGCTGCCATTCATAACTCTTGCTTTAATGAATTCCTTCCTTATCTTCGCGTCTGACCTGTTCAAGATTCTTTCTTGTCCAGGGTCAAGAACCCTCCCCCGTCCAGATTGAGGTTTGACCTAGTGCTCAGGGACAGGCCTCCCCAGATGCAGCTACACCACAACATAATTATGTAAAAATTAAGTTAATATGAGGATAAGAGTTGTCCATGTTCACAGTAATCCTACTGCAATTGCTATTTTTTGGTACAAGCATTTGGTGGTATAAACCAGAATCTTCAGGGAGGGGTTCTAGACTAAACCTAGGTTTCCAAGGCTAATAATGGCTCAAACCATCCTGAGCTGAACATCCATAGTTGGTGGCTGCTGGGTTTCAGAGGACCGTGAAGTGGAACCAGATGAGATGATCCACCAGATTTTATCATATACACCAAGATGTTGGGCTCCCAAGAACAAGGGCAGCTCTTGACCAAATTATGAACCAAGGGTTTGTACTTGACAACCCTTTCACAGCATTTTCTAGGATGTACCCTTCCTGGACCAGCACACAAGTACCACCCTTGTACGTCTAAGCTCCTCTTCTTACTGAATGAAATTAAATTGCCTAGTACCCTTCTCCAAGTCATTTTCAGATTAGAAGTGGTGATTTAGTGTATTACTAGGCTGGGTGTGTGGGAGAAGGATTCCCATGTTCCTCTTCTTCCACTGGACTTTGGGATAGTTTCCTGTTTGTACACATGCATTCATCCACTCAATAATTACTGAAGATCTTTATAAAATGAGCCAAACATTCTTTCAGATGCTGAGTGAATACTCTCTGCCCTCATCCAGTTTACATCCTAGAGCAGGGTTGCAGGCAATAAGCAAACAGAGATAAGTACAAAATGTAATTTCACACAGTGAAAAGTGTGTTAGTTGGGAGAGGGGCAAGTTTAGATAGGGTGATCACGTAAGGCCTCTCAGAGGAAGTGGTATCTTAGTAAAAATCTGAACTGAGCGATGCACACCGCCTATGCAAAGGGGAAGCAAGTGCAAAGGCCTCAAGACAGGAGGCAGGCAGAGCCGCAGAAAGAGGCGAGGATTTCTGGGGAGTCACTACTCGGCCAGCGGCACCGTTACCTACATGAAACCAGCACCCCCGGTCACCAGCACCCGCTTCGCAAAGCTGCTGGGAGGACCCACGGGCTCCTCCGCCCGGCCCGCAGCCGACATCGCCCAGCTCAGCAGCACCCGCCACCATGAAGCGCCAGGTCTATAGACCGTGGGCCAACTCCACCGCGACTTTCTGCGACGTGTCTCGCTGCCCCGACACGTCAACGAGGCAGGTAGGGGCCGCTTCCGGGGCTGCCCTGCTTATCCCCGCCCACTGGCGGGCTGGGCGGGCCCCCGGGTGCGCGGGCTGCGCAGTGCCACTGCGCAAGCGCAGCTCTTGACTGAAGCGGGTGGGCTAGGAGCTATTGGGGTGTCCGGGCCACTGAGGCCTGGAACGTTTTGGGGGCCAGTGACACCAGTGTGGAGATGGGAGGTTGGAATTACAAAATAGTGCTTTTATTTTGTTGTTAGTGTGATTACAGACAGAGCAGGCTGCTTGCAATCCTAGTAAATATGTACCCTAGATCCCACCGTTAGTTGTTTTCCTTCTGCTCACACTCTTGCTCAGGGACTCAACCTCTCGGCCCTCCCTGCTCTTCCTTGAATTAACCCGGCAAGCTACTTCCCATGCACCTGATGTCCTGTCCCTAGATGTCTGACAAGTTTTTATCCTTACCTCAGTTCTCAGCTTGAACGTCACCCTAGTGGAGAGTCCTTACTTTACCATCTCAGTTAAAATAGCAAGCTCTATCCCAGCCCTGCAGAACCACTTTCTTTTTCTCCATAGCAGTCAACATTTCCATTGATTGCTCAGTGTTTCTGCTCCCTCTAAGGTGAGGGGCTTTGTTTTGTTTCTCGCTGTAATCCCAAGGCCGTAAGGACAGGCCCGGCACAGAAAAAACAATCACAAATATTGATGAATAGATGAGTATCTTGTGTTTGGTTATTGTTTTTTTTCTTCACAATGTGTTGGCAAAACCTAAAAATGGGAATACCCACTATGTGTGGAAGTGTCACTTGTTATATTTTGGGGGCAAAATATTAACATATATGTAAAGTTCAAATGTACATACTCTATAATCCTCAAATTCCATGACGTATAATATAGATAATTGCAGAAAACAAATACATTCATCGCTACATTGCTTATAAAAATGAACTGGATATAATCTCAATGTCTACTAATATTGTCTCACTTTTAAAACACAAATATAGCCTTTAAATAGAATGCACAACATGCAATGAGAACCAAAATATATTGTAGTGGATACTTAAAATTTTATCTAACCAAAGCCCTCTACCCTTTATGATCTCCCCAAGTTGATCAACCTGGGAAAAGCCACAGGATGGGCATCTGACTCACCCTAAGCCAAATGAAGTCTCTTCCTGGGATTGGAATTGGACTAAGGTTCTAGCATATGCTGCTCTTCTCCAGCTCTGAGGACCTACAAATTTGGGACTTGTCAATGACCATATTCATTCAAATGAAGTGAGGAAGCAAAAAACCTACCTTAAGTGAGAGTAAAACAAAGTTGATTATGAAGAGAAGAAAGAGACAGATGAGGCCTCAGAGCATTCAAGGCCCATATTCTGTTTTATTTTTTATTTTCAGGACCAATTTTATTCCTGTCCTTGGCGTGCAAATACTACATATATTTGTAAATGCATGTCTGAAAGGATCCCCCCTAAACTTAATGGGTTACCTGTAGGTATCTTTTGAGCAGAGGAAGGAGGAAATGAGGATTTCCATTTTACTTAATATATTTTGTGAGTTTTTTTCCTAAGCTGCATGAATTATTTTTATGATTTTAAAAGAATGCAACTTTAAAAAATCTTATTAATACCTCCATTTTATTTCTGGTCAGCCAGAAGTAGAGAAAATACTGAATATGTGATAGGAAGTATTCCCTCCAGATTTCTTTTCTAAATTATATAGTCTATTTGAGAACCTGCTTATAGGTAATAAAAGATGGTTGTCAAATGAAAATAAGTTATATACATTTATTCATTAATTTTGAGCTTCCATCAAGACAGAGTCCCTACCAGATAGTGGGGGATTCAGATAAATCAATAGACATTTACAATACAGTGGGCCATGTTCCTGTGTAGGGAAGTAAGGTGTTCTGGTTCCGGGGGTGTGTAGCACAGACTTGGAGGGTTGAGAAGGGCTTCTTAAAGTGCTTTGGGAAAGAGTAACAAAGAAAAAGGAAGGTGATGGTGAGGTCAAGAGGTAGAATAAGCAAAGTATTCCAGCCAGAGGTATCTGCAAGTGCTATAGGCCCAGAAGGGAGAACTTGCACTGATAGTGAACTGACATTGGAGATAAAAATCGAGAGATGGAAATTTTTAAGAGACTCGAAAGCCATGTACTAGAGTTTGGGTTGTGTACTAACAGCAATGGAAGGCCTTTGAAGGAAAGCGATGCAGTCAAGATGCATTTCCCAAAGCTTTCTGTGGCTCTGGGGAAAGACAGGCAGTGTGTAGCTATATGAGGAAAACTGAGACTGAAGGGAGGTCAGCTGCTATAGGCCAAGTAAGATGATGACACCGTGATGACCTCAATCGGCTAGTGGCTGCTGCTTCCTACCGTTGCTGCCCAACAGAGGCGCTAATAAACGTCTGCTTGCTTCATTGAATCGATTGGATGTGGGGGTGTAAGGAGGGGAAGGTCTTTGTAGTTCCCAGCTATCCGGCCTGCGGGATGATGACATAATTCAGGAAGACGGCATCTAGCAGGTAAAAATCGATTAGAAGTGACAAGTCAATTCAAAGCAGGTACAGTTATATGCTTTTGAGACATTAAAGTGGAAACATCCAGTAGGTCACATAGGCACCTAGCGCTTGGCGGGAGCTTCCTCTCTCCGCCAGAAATCGTGCAGTCCTGTGTTGCTCAATTACTTCCGAATCCCACAAGCCCCTCCAAAGCCGTCCAGGACGGAGCCCGCGCGCATGCGCAGTGGCACCACGCACGGAGACGGCGGGGGTGGGCAATAATTTTTCCGTAACCTGAAGCAACATCCTCCTGATGCTCCATAAAAAAGGCGGGAACTAGCCAGCAGGCTGGGGAGTGATGGGACGCGCGCCTCTGCATGTCCCGCTCACTTGGGCCTGTGATTGGTGGATACACCCGGCTCGCGGTGGGCGGGCGGGCCACGCTGGCTGTCAGTCTCCCGGGGGCAGGCCGGCGACGCCGGGCCCGCTCCCGCCCTCCCCGCAGCTGCCGACGTGGGGCCGGAGGTTAGAGGCTGGGTTGTGGGCGCGGAGCGCAGGCGGGATGGGGGGGCTGCGGTTGCTGGCGGTGGCCCTCACGTGCTGCTGGTGGCTGCCGGGGAGCCACGCTAAGACCCTGCGGGGCAGCTTCAGCAGCGCTGCGGCCCGAGACGCTCAGGGCCAGAGCATCGGCCGCTTCGAGTTCCACGGTAGGTGCGGGGAGAGGCAGGAAGGCGCGTGGGCCCGTCCCGCGGGCCGTCCTCCCTGCCTCGCGTGGGGAGGCCGGCGGCGGCCAGGCGGGGCTGTGCCCTGCGCACCTGGATGTTCAGCGTCGCCCGCAGCGCTGCCGCAGCAGCTGTCCTGAATCGTGAATGCGTTTACTGCCAACCCGACTTGTGCTGCTCCCGACACCCTCCTCAGCACCCTCCCCGGCTTGGTGATTGTATTCTGCACCTAGAAGACCGTTTCCCCAGTCCCCAGACAAACGACTGTACGGTGACTTGCCTGCTGCATCTCTCCCGATCTTAACCTGACAGAAGCATCTTTCGCTCACGACTGTCTCAGCCTGATAATATATACTAAGACATAGTAATTACCTGTAAATTTAAGACCCAGAACTTAGATTTACGGCGGTTTTGTTTTGTTTTTGAAATCAATTTCCTAAAACCTACTTGCAGCACAGAGATATGGGAAACTCAATAAAACACCGGGTAATCTAGTCACAATTGCTAGAACAAGTTTGGTTACTGTGGTACTAAAGGAGTACATTTACAATGCACCAAGAGGCCTAGAGTTTATTTGACAGAAATGCATATTAAGTGTGACCTGGAAGCTTCATAATTTGTATCCTCTCTGGCCCTTCTGAAATCAGAAGTGCATTTGATACTTACCTTCTGGTCTTCCTCAAAAATCAATAATTCTTCAGTGGATGAGTGTGCAATTCATTTTAATCTTTGTTTTATTTGCATCTTCAAAGTTTGGGGATTTTTTGTACCCTTAATTTAACTAGTACTATATTGCAAATAATTATTTGCTATACTGAGGTTAGTTTAGGATCCTTGATTCATGCTGTTTTTATCATTAAAAGATACAAGATCAGAATATTGTCCTAGAGAAGATTCCTAGGAGAAAATAATAGGAACAAGAAGCTATTTTGGTGTGAGAAAGGAGTTTAAAGTATATATTGGGAAATTACAGAATTCGTGTAAAGGAAGGGGAATTGAGTACTTATTTTTAATCTGAAGTTTTTTAAAAAGCTGAGAAAAGATGAAACCCAGTTTTCCAAAATTTAGTGTGGAGCAGGCCTTGGCTGAATGAAGAAGCAGCTCTAGAAACAGAGTATTGTTACTATTTTTTAGGTCACATTTTCAGTTTCTTAATCAACTGGCTGTCACCTGTACTTTGAGTATTGACAATGATAGTAATGTCTCCACAATAAATGGTAACAGTCTGGACAGTGCTGAAAAATCTGGGATGTATGGAAGCTATAAAATAGGTTATTATTCATGACTAGCTGAGAGATTTAGAGAACCCCAGTGTTTCATGATGATAATCTGGTAAACATAGAGAATCATAGGCAGTAAATCCAGATTTCTCAAGAAAGACTGAAGAATAGTGTTCGAAGTATATTAACACTATGTGTACAAATATACATTTTATTATTACCAATTCTCAGTGAATTCAAATTTAGTGAACTAATAGTACTAAAACTATATTGAAATAATGAACTCTAACTCAGAATGTGATTTAAGATGCTAATAGGGCTTTTGAGTTACTTTTAAGACTTTTGATCATTTATAATGGACCAATTTATGTAGGATACTTAGACATTCTTGGATATATGCTATGCATTTGAAAATGCTTAATTAAAGTGATAGTTGTAATAAAAGTAAAACAACAACAGAATAGATCTAAAAATGAAAGAACAGTTTCCTACCTCACTTCACACCCAAAATCCTTTCCCCCGAGTCAGCTACTTTTTGTCATTTCTGTTCTGGGCCTTAAATGTAGTTGGTATGTGCAACCAGGCTTATTCTATAATAGTCTTGCAACATGTGTTCTGAAAGTTGTTTTGCAAAAGTCACAGATGTCAAGTTTTGTATTAGGTGTAAAATGCCTACTCCAAAGTTCATTGGTTTGAACTTTATTGCTATTAGTTATTTTTTTTGCTATATTTATTCTTTATTGCTATACTTATTTTCTTCATTAAAAGTGTAATTAAATATTAACAGCCACGTTACATCAGAAAACAAAAGAAACTTGTGAGCAATTTAGCTAGTTTATAAACAACTGTTAAAGACATGGAGTGGTTATAAAACTAGGCAAAAATTCTATTACAGTGAATATGCAGATACAGCAGATACTGCTATTTATTCAGTGAAATGTCATCAGTTGTCAGCTACAGTATGAGAAAACACCACACATTAATTTGAATAATTGACATGAATAATCTCTTCACTTGCAACTGAATGGGATGTTTTTTATAATGTGGCTTATGTAGTTTAGTGAGATTTAAGAAACTTTGTGCTCTTTAAATTCCCATTTTGACAAATAGAGGTGTTGAATTGTTCTCTCATCTCAGTTCCACAGAAGACCAAATTAGTTATAATTTTTGTTTTTATGTCAAGGTGACCATGCTCTTCTGAGTGTCAGAATCAACAACATAGCAGTAGCTGTTGGAAAGGAAGCTAAACTCCACCTGTTCCAAGCCCGGGAATGGCTTAAGCTGCAGGGAAACAGTCAGGATTATAGCTGCAGGGAAAAATTAGCCAAAGCTCAGTTGACAGGTGAGTATCTCCTTTTTCCCTTGATCATAAAATATGTTTTTTTCATCCTAAATGTCATAGTATAGTATCTACACACCATGATGTTTCATGACACAGCCCACATCACACTGTGATGACACTTTGTCTAGGACATTTTAAGCTGAGGTTAAAGGAAACTAATTTTTTCCTTGATCAAAAGATAGAATGCCTTTTTCCCCCTTTAAGGTTCAAAAGTTTTGAAAAGACATCCAGATAATTTATAAAGGCATACTTTCCTTCAAACAGACTTCTTACAGGTCACATAATTCTTACCAGTACAGCACATATAATTTGAACCAGTGGTGACATGGAATGAGTGATAACATTTGTTGAATGCTTATTATCTGGTGGCACTGAACTAAGCACTAACCATGTATTATCTCAATTAATCGTATCCCGTTGCCCAAGTGATGCTGTTTTGCAACATGTTATTAGAGCATGGGACTTAGTCATACAATAACACAATATGTCATTTGGAGATGTACCAGCACCACATTATTTGTAAATCTATAGGTTTGCTTCTAGAGAAACTCTCCTTTTATTATCTTAGTTGCCTGAATCCTTGAGCTCTTTCATTCTCATCAACAATATCCCAGGCATTAGAGTGTTAGCCATCCAGAGTGTGTGCAGATCTTTTTCATATAGAAATAAAAAGCATGTGCCTTGTTATCTATTTTATCTCTTTGAAGTTAATTGATGGTAGGAGACATTAAGAATGTGAAGCATCCATAAGAAAAAATTGAAATTATCCCTCTTCCCTTTTTCCCCATATATTTCCTCAACCATGTTCTGTATATCAGTGAATCTCTGAATCCTTTAGCCAAGTCAAGTAAAACACTGACATTTCTAACATCCAGTCGTTCTCTTAAAACAGTTCCCTCATAAAGCAGCTAGTCAGAATAGTGGTAACAGAAGTCCCCAGTCCATGCCACCCACTGTGGTATCTTTTATCTAGATTTGTGAGTTGGCAACTGGATTCAGATATCAAAGGATAGTTTGTTATTAGTTATTTACCTAAACCCTGAATTTCAGAAATAAACTAGGAAGTTCATACAGATGCTCATTATCAGTTATTTTTCCCTTTCCACACCAGTTTGCTCATCTAAATATTGCATATATACATACATAATCTCAAACCTTCTGTTTCCAGTTCTTATAATGTCCAAAGTTGAATTTGCCATCTGGCCCATCCAAACCTGGTCCTCTTCCAGTGTTCCCTGTTTCAGGAACTGGCACCACAATCCATCCACGAAACAAACTAGAAACCAAAGTCCTCCAGTCCTCCAGCACTCCCCTCTTTGATCCCTTTATCCCCTTCCGATCTACCAATGAGTTATCTCAAAATATGTCTTGAATTCAAATACTTTTCTTCACCCCTACTCCCATCATGTTATTCCAGGCCGCCATCACCTCTTACCTCTGCTAGTGCAGTAGCTTCCTATTTGGTCGCTGCAGCCATGTTGGTCCCCTCTGCAAGCAGTGATCTTTCTGAACAGCAGAGTTGACATGTCACATTCATCTCACTGCCCTCTTAAATACTTCAGTGGTTTCCTTCTGCTGTTAGGACAAAGACAGGCCTCCTTAAGCTGATCAGCAAAGCCACCGTGATCTGGCTGCAGTCCACCCCCCAGCTCCATCTGAAATGTTGTCCCCCCCTCCCACCTCGTTTTATTTGTACTGCTGTTTTGTTTTTGTGCTGCCAGGGGCCTTTGCGCAAGCTTTCCCTCTGCTTGTTCTTCCTTCCCCTCTTTGACTTCACCCCTCATTAAGTTAACAATTGAGTTTTTTTGCCTCTTGCTTTCCTCCACAGCACTTACTAGAGTTGCCACTTTACCTATTATTTACTTGGTATGAAATCATCCTGTGAGAGTGGCAGGGCTTGTGGTCTCTTCATTTGCACACTCATTCGCTGAGTCCTTCCACTGTTTCATGTACTGTGCTAGGCACTGGTGATACATCAGGGACCAAAATATACTGCCATGTTTTCAGTCCTTAAGGTTAGTGGGGGTGACAAGAGTGAATCAGATCAGTGTGAATAAATGAAATTGGAATTGTGCTAAGTCCTATGAGTGTTCATTACATGGTACTATGAGAATGAGAATTTACAACATCCTAGTCCTTAGTTGAGCATTTACTAAGTATTTGCAAGATGAACTGTCATAAAGCTTAGTGCTTGACAGCTTTTTTGATTGGTAGGTCGTTTGCTTTGTATTGGGCACCTCAAAGTCTTTTTCCTTCTCCATTAAAAACTTACCAGGCTGTTTAAAGCTTTGAGCTATAGGAATCAATTTGTCTTCTTATATCAGATGGTGAATATTATACCATATACTGTTACACTTGCAAAAACATTATTTTTGTATTAATCATATACCTTCAGTCACAGACCTTATATATACAGTGCCATGGACAGACTACTAAACAGAATCATTGCTAGTGATTTGTAACAGCCTTTTTATCTTCAAGCTGCACTTCATTTAACTGTACAGCAAGGAAATTGGAGTAGTTTCCTCTAAGTTTCCTGACAATCCTAAAATGCTCTGATTCTACTTATAACTCTTTAGGATGGAGTTCAGTGTATGTAGGGCTGTATTTATAAAACCTCTTGCTGTTGTTTTTCTATTTTCCCTTCCTATTCCCTGCTCTGATAAGCGCAAGGGTGTTCTTTGGAATTATTGGAACAGAAGATTTCAGGAAACAAATTTTTGAGGAATGAAAATTGTTTGCTTAAATTTGGGGACTTGAAATAAATTAAGCACTGGTGATATTATATCACTTCTGCATATTTCATTAAAATTATTTTCCAATAACAAAAGCTAAGTTTTACAAAACTGTATTCACTGTTGTTTATATATTAGCTGTCATAGTTACAGTATATTATTATTTAGGAGCTTTGGTGCATTCATGTCCTTAAATTCATGACAGTGTAGTAACACCACATATTTTTTAAAATTCTTTGTAGAAATAATTCTCATTCCCTGGCCATTAATGAGACTTAAGAGTTAATAGCCTTTCACCTACTTGGTAATGAATTCTGACAATGACTAACTCTTATGTAAAACCTTACTGCTGCTATGAACTATGAAAAGACTAGAAACTAGAAGATTGGACAAATCCTCTAGTGTTACATGTTGCTTGTGAGTTACAGTCTCCCAAATTAGTGTTTAAGAGATTATTTTTCAGTTTTCCTTTGTTCTTTTTCCATAATGTCATTGAACAAGTTAAAAAAATGATAAAAATTCTTCTGTGAGTTTTTAAAGCAGGCAAATAAGACATTTAAAAGCACTAAAAATTATGAGTTTCTATGTAAAAAAAAAGTTTAACAAAGATTCAGAGTAAATTGCTCTCAGATTACAAGAGCTAAATATAGTTTTTTGTATATAAAACATTTCCAGCATTTTACATCATGCATATATTTCATTTTGTACATTTGGTGTATATTTTATCAGTCATTTAAAGGTGTTAGTATTTTATTATTTGTATATTTTTGTTCATACTATTCATTTTAGTTTATAATATGATTGGGCAATTAGCCATCCAACACCATTCAAATTTTGTTAATATTTGAGGTACTAATGACACCAACATAGACTATGTGTGCTGTGCTATAGTCTGTTGTCTCAAAAACAATGAACATACAGTTTTGTCAAGAGGCTTGTTTTCCAGTCTTGCTAGAAAAAAGCAGCAATACAAAAACTAAAGGCCAGAAGCATACTTACGTTTTTACCTGATATAAATCCAGGAAAATGAAGCATCACAAAGTGTATTGGTGAAAATATAACGGTTCATGTTTGTGTTGTTTTATCTAGGAGAAAAAGTGCACATGATAAGACCGTAACATAGAAGAGCCTTTCTATAATGAGGGCCAGATTATATAATTGCAAGCTGCATATTTCAAAAGCCCTCTTTCTGAGCCACTTAGTGATCACATATTGAAT